TCCGTCGACATTGGCGGTACGAAAGCATCAGTCAGCTCTTCGATTTGCTGCTTCAGGCCACCAATGTCCGCAAACGTAACATCCAATGCTAGCTGCTTCGGCATACCCTGCATGAAGAATACAGAGCATTTAAGAAACCACAGGTAAAAAAATGTGATCAGTGCTTCGGGATAAAAAAATGACGACGCACTAGGACTGGGTGTGGACATAGAAATCCAGTGGAATGAGTGAGGCCGGCACCCTTGCTTACTTAGCGCGTACTACACCCACTGCAACACTGTGACAATGGAGCAGCATGCATGCAGTAGTGGCCACAACTGCAAGGCCAGCGCCCCCGGCGGCCGCTTGACTTGTCAGCGGATTTCGATGTCCGCAGCACCAGTAGCTTCTCTGAAGACGATGCGCGCCATGCCTTTAGAACATGTAGCCAGCATACACAGCTAATGAAGAGGTGAGAGAAACGGCCGAGCAAGAAAACCACCAGTTAGCAGCAGAACTCAAAGAAGGGAACTTTCCTGCAAGCCACAGCCAGCAATACTCTACACCCCCCACCCCCACCAATCAATGATGTAGAAAACCAGGCAGCTGATAATCTCCTTCACTTTTCAAGCCCATAGCATCCACATGTATGGTTCAATCTGCGGACTTGGCCTTCCAAGACCTACAGCCACGCTGATTTGCGGCCGTATAGGCGTAGATCGCAGTGCATACAGTATATTTACCGTAACTAGGAAATAAAATAAATTGGACGGGAGGGCGAAAATTCGGGCCGGGCGCTGACGATAAACAATCGATTTTTACATAGCCTTACTTTAAGGTCGTCCACAAATATCAATATTTTTTAGAGAAGATATTCGTTCGTTTGGGGGTGGGGGGTGGGGGTGGGGGTTGGTCCCTGTTCATCTCATCCTTCTGAAAAAAATATCGATCTCTAAATTTGGGCGGGCACTGTGCAAACATGTAGTTGATGACCTACAGAAAGTGACAGTCAACTCCAAGAATACAGCCATGGCAAGGTGTATGGTGAATTTGGAGTTCCTGTTGGTCATGTTTCACGAGGAGATTACACTTCATTAAAAAATACCGATACCCTGCATAAACGTGTGTGTGTTCGTTTTGACGGGAGGGGGCGGGGGAGGGGGTCCGGGGACATAATGAACAAATATCGTCTTGAAAAAAAATATTCGCATGCAACGACGCAAATCCACACAATTCAGTAGACACTTCTTTTCTATCAAACGTTTTCTTTCCCTTCTCTTCAGGATAGTACAGGGAATGTTGGAAATTTGGAAAAACACATAACTATATAGAAAAATAGAGAAAAAGTCAACACTTCAACATAGGCGATAAAATGACTAAAGTGTGAAAAAAAAACTCGAAAACAAAAGCAGCAAGTTGTAGACAAGTTGTAGACAAACACACCCTTCAACACCTGGGCGCACGCATCCATCAACAAGTGCCGTTAGGTCTTGTCCCTGTTGACGCTCGTGGTACTCGTCCTCGTCGTGGCCGTCCTCCAAAATGTGCTGTGCAGTCCGATACTGGAACGCCTTTGTCTGCGTCCAGTGTAGATGTACGCATGCGCGCCTCCGCCTCGACGGGCGGGGAGCTTGGCCCATCTCAGACTAGCGTGAGGAAGCGAGGAAGACCATCCCGAAAACCGCCCAATGTGACACCGGAGCTCACGGACACCGGAAGAGTTACCAGAAGCAAGGTGAAGAGACGAAGTACTGGAGATTTGAATATGTCGGTACTGGAAGTGACAACAACGATCAACAAGAGGAAACGAGGAAGACCGAGGAGTCAAACGAAAACGACCATGAATTCAAAGGACGTTGGAGGTGTCAACAAGCCCAACGGAAGAGAACAACGGCAAACGTCGAAGGTGACAGAGCTAAATGATCGGACATCGTCCATCAAGCGTCATTTGTCGGGAAGTGCTAATTGTCGTGAGTTGTATAGTGATGATGTCTTTTCGGTTTTAACTCGTGGAAGGTCTAAGTTACATCTTGCTGTGTTAGAAGCTCTGTATATTCGTAAACTAGATCCAGAACTATGTGTACAGAAGGAGAATGTGTTATCGTTGCAGTTGTTTGGTGTCACACCTCGTGAAAGTGTGACAAGTGCTTCTTGATGTGTTCAACGTGTTTGTCTACAACTTGCTGCTTTTGTTTTCGAGTTTTTTTTTTCACACTTTAGTCATTTTATCGCCTATGTTGAAGTGTTGACTTTTTCTCTATTTTTCTATATAGTTATGTGTTTTTCCAAATTTCCAACATTCCCTGTACTATCCTGAAGAGAAGGGAAAGAAAACGTTTGATAGAAAAGAAGTGTCTACTGAATTGTGTGGATTTGCGTCGTTGCATGCGAATACTTATTACGAAACTGTTTTCCCACCGCCTCCAAACTACTGTTTGAAAAAAAATATCGATATTTACGGACAGTCCCTTACCTTTCTAACCTGTCCCGGCGCGTCAAGCACAAGTGACGTCTCAGTGGCGCTCCAGACAAACGGGGAAGCCCCTGCAAGCTGCGCCGGTGGACCGCCTGGGTGGAACGGCGTGGATGCGAGTCCTGCACTCGCCTGCACGGGAGAATCCTGCAGAGACATGGAGCTGAGACCCATCGCCAAGGACGAGGAGTCCGCCGCTGGTTTCTCGGACAATGCCGACGACGACGACGATGACGATGAGAGGACGGAGGACGTTGGCTGGCGTGCCACTGGCGTTGAGTGCTGCGCTGGCATGGATACGGGGGTTGAGTGCTGCGTTGCCATGGAGATGGGCGTGGTCGAGACTGAGCGAGTCGCAGACCTGTCAAACGACGCGTAAGCCGATGGCACTCCGGGCGTCGCGGGAGCGGAGGTCGGAGCAGCGATGGCAGCAGCGGTCGCTAGAGTGCAGTCGGACACCGTGAAGGCAGCGTTCTCACCGCAGTAGCTCACCTCAATGCAGTTAGACAGGAAGAACATACGGCGATCTGCACAGAAACACGCAGACAATACCGTAGTCACGCGATTAGAGCCCTCTCTCTCAAAGAGAGACACATACCGTACTCGCGCTATTAGCACCCTCTATCGAATAGTGCCCCTGTCTCTAAGAGCCAACGGAAAAATAAAGCCCTCTTTTGAATAGTGCCCCCTCCCCCGGGCTTGTAGTCAAGCGGATGTGCAAGTTTGGTGTTGTTTTACTAATGTTCTTGTCCATGCAATAACCTTGGTGGATTCGGGACCAAAATCGCAATTCTTCTTGCAGTTTCTGTTGAGCCATGATAGTTTATAGTAAACTTTAGACCGTGTTTTTCTTATTTTTATGGTGAAGGACGTAAATGTACCAGCATTGAAAAATAGTACCCTCTCTTGAACAGTGCCCCATCTGTGATGAACTTCAAAAGAATAGGCTCGGATGGGGAGCCAAGGATAAAATTATAGAAAAGAAAAAAGGACCGAGGAACTACAAGTTACGCTATAATGTCCACTAACACCACCAGTCACTAAACAATCAGCTCATGCGATAACATTGCACGACACTGACCGACTGTTATCGCATGAGCTGATTGTTTAGTAACTGGTAGTGTTAGTGGACATTATTATAGCGTAACTTGTAGTTCCTCGGTCCTTTTTTTCTTTTCCCAAGATTAGTGCCCCTGGGGCACTAATCGGTCACGCTTATTCACACATATCCGCAGGATTAGTAAGCGTGGCCTATGCAGTATAGGGATACATGAACACAGACCAGCATCACGTACCCTCCGTACTGCTAGCAAAGAGAAGATTCTCATCCAGACATACATGTACACGATCATACTGAATACGCAAGCCAAGCCATATCACTACAGAACCAGCACAACCAAGACCAACGTCATGTACAAACTAACCCGTACACACACACACACACACACACACTCAGACTCAGACTCGGACTCAGACATGCCCATCGCGGAAGCGATGATAGCGCAACTTGTGCTGGGATTACACCATTCAACAGCTTGCAAGGCTGATGAATTGACCACCACCAATTTTAGCCTGGTCTACACCACGCACACACGCACGCACATGCATGCACGCGCACACATGCACGCGCGCGCGCGCACACACACACACACACACACACACACACACACACACACACACGGCACACGAGTGCACTGCATCGCTTACCGAGAACACGTATCAGGTACCGCTTGAAAACATCGTTGAAGGATGGCGGAAGAGCAACACTGCAGCCAACACCACACAAGGACAAAATCACTGGTACTGAGGGAACCGCAGATCACAGAACGCGATTTTCCAGAGTATGAAGTGCATGCCCAAACATTCCTATGCTCGTCGTAATGGCTTCCCCAAGGACCCCAACTTCATCAGCCGTTGTAATGGAAAGGGCTGTCGAGCCTGCGATGTCTTCACCGACACCAGGGTTGGCAGCATCTCTGCTCGTTTCTTGTAAGTAATACACCGGCGCCAAGTCCCACAACACCGTCGTGCCAAGTGGCTCCAGTGGTGAGGTTCAACCTTCACATGGATCTCGGCATGCTGCGCCAGCTCTGTGCGCATGATGCCCCGTTCAAGCGTGGCTGCTTCGCTTTCGAGACTGTGGCGGAGGAGCTGTGCCACTTCAATCCTAGCAAATTCGGGTCGATGTCGAAGAAGGCCGTTCGGGATCGCGTGCTGAAGTGTATAGACCAGCACGTGAACAGGGAGAAGTGGGCGAAGAGGTAGTGAGTTTCCACGTGACGTTTGTTCATGTACCGGTACTGTACCACCGGTGAGGAAATCCTTCACGGCAAAGAAGAAAGTAGCGCGCTGGATTAGAATTGTAGAGACTACTGCTTGTGTGCAGCGCCGGCTTTGCTGCCGCAACCGACTGCGAGGCGCAGCCCCGGAATTCGGGAGAGCACATGATTGCTCGGCATCACGTTTAACGCGACGCTGTGCTGGTTGTGGAAGCGATGGGGGCAACTGCACGACGACACATGTCACGCAGCCGTACTTCACACAGGCAAGGGTAGCTTCCTACGCTATTGCCATCGTGGATCTCTGCAAAAGAGTTGATCTACCCGTGTGGGGCTTTATCGATGGAACGATCAGCCGTGTGTGCCACCCGGAACTTCATCAGCGCGTGTACTTCAGTGGGCACAAGCACACTCTGCTGTTGTAGATATTAAAGAGCATGACCACATCCTCCTTACAGCTGTGCTTGATTATACAGATCTCATCAGTGAAGGTTGAAAGAATACTGAACTTGGACTTGGAGTCCATCCGGTGGTGCTGGAGTGGTGAAAATATATTTTCGCATCACCCCCCGCCCAAGTTCGAACTTCCATGTTGCTAAGCGTCCCTCAAAGGAGCGTTTAGCAATGTGAAAGTTCGAACGAAAATTTGAGTCTGGGAGCAAGATCAGAAACAAAAAGTCAAAACTTCGCAAACTTGGACGCGAAGTTGTAAAATATTTTACTACTCCCCTTACTGAAGTGCATACTGAGGAAAGAGAAAGTTTCTTCCGCAAATCACTACAACTTCGCGTCCAAGTTTGCAAAGTTTCAACCTTTGTTTCTGAGCTCGTTCCCAGCTCAAAATGTTCACTCTACTCCCTGCTTGAGACTGAGTGTTCGAGTAGAAGGGATAAGAACCTGTTCTGGGATCGCACCACTCAACAGCTTGCAAGGCTGAAGAATTGACCGCCACTTATTCAGCTTGGTCTACACCACACAGCTAGAGTTGTGCTCACTGAAATCCGACCCAAAGTGCAAACCTGGCGCCCTGGTCCCTGGACACGTTCCGATTACATCATTGTATTTGTACATGTGTACGTCCAGCCGCATTCATGCCACTTCCAGGGCGTCAAGGGCCGTGCAAGTTGAGTGCGCCAGTTTCGCACTTTGGGTCGGATATCAGTGAGCGTAACTTTACTTGAAGTGGCTTTTTCTGCCAAGTGAATCCCTACTTCACACACACACACACGCACGCACACGCACACACGCACACACACACACACACACACACACACACACACACACACAACCTGCTTTACCTGCTCTTGAGCGTGACTGAGTGCGCAAGCGGAACTTCACCAGTCACTTTACTGACAGTGACCATGTCTTGGGCAGAGAGCTGGAAAAACAGAACACACCGAGACAGCGCAATGAGTTGTGGAGAGACGACAGCTGTCAACGCCATTGTGCACCTGATGTTCAAAGTGACTACTTGTCCCAAGTACATGTATCAATAATTTAGCACACTTTACCACTGTCACAGGCGTATAAAACGCAATTGGATGATGCCATCTTCATTTGGTCTGTCCAGTCAACTAGTGGTAGAAGTTTTTTTTTCCTTTTTTTCTTTCTTTCGACCAGACGAGAGACCGCACGACGCTTGCAAACACCAGCACGAACGTCTTGTGGACTGTTGCTGGTGAACTACCCATGACGGTGTTTTCAAACGCTGTGTGGTCTTGTCTGTTCCAAAAAAAGCACCTACTACTGGTATAAAACATAGCCTATCCCAGACCCCCCCCCCCCCCCCCGGGAGTATACCCGCAGCCTAATACCAAGAGTACATAACCCCCAAGAGTGTGCAACTGCCTGCACAACCTCTATGCTGTGCTGCGACGGCAGAACTTCACATCACCTGACATGGTTCAAAAGGTTATGCTGGCAAACAGTGCAAAGTGACCCCAAGAGAGTTGTACCCAAAGCTGGGTTGCGTACAACCCTGTATCTATCATGCACAGAGTGCAAAATTAATAATGTGTACGGGTTCATCACGTGACGTGAAGTTCTGCCGTCGCAGACCCCATAGCTATAATATAGCTAGCTGGAGTTGCACACTCTTGGGGGTTATGTACTCTTGTTAATACTAATATACACACTTGACTGCAGCCAATCAAGTATACAGGTGGAATCCTGATAATTCGAACCTCAAAATGCTAGGAAAACACTTCTAATTATCCGGACATTCGAATTATCCAAACATGAACCCATAGCACAATAGGTACTTATGTCAAAATGCTCTCATGGTCACGCAGAGTTGCGCTATGGACCTTGGACACAGATTTCACGGATACTGAACTGACCGGCACAGCCTGCTCATGCATACTGAACTGACCAGTACAGTGTACAGTGAACTTCGAATTACACTTTGCTAAACTTCGAATTACCACAGGGCTGCCACTTGCTCCGATTTTTCGGAAATCGTCCGATTTTTGATCGCCTGTCGGACAAACCGACCGACTTTGTTTCCAAAGAGAGACAACCGATTATTTTATTTTGAGCGCTTTTTAGTCCAGTTGGCCATTAATTCGGCGCTTCCAGGTCGCGTTTGGCCGGTCATTGTACATGTACATGTAGCTGTAAAATGCACGCGTGCTTGCAAGCACTTGGAGTATGTACGGTGTACGGGATGAGCTGTAGCAACGGCGGTTGCTACAGGCGCTAGGCAGCTTTGCAACTGCAGTACATGTACTGCCAATGCCACTGGATCAACGATCATTGACGCAGCGATGATTGATTCAACCGTTTCAGCATTGCGTTGCGCTGCGCTGCATGCCGTTCACAGGGTTCATGCCCTGTTCCTGAATCCTGGCGTGACATCCGATCCGTCGTGTCAACACTTACATGACTGTACTTGGACCAACGACCTCTGCACGCGCATGCAGGCGCATGGGGAGTAGGACGGTTGATCTTCTTCTCGACTTCTGGTGGTAGTTGAAGTGGTAGTTAGTTCAACTAATTTTTCATCGTTCACAATGTCGTTAGACTATCACTCAGACTCCGAGGATTTCCAGCTGATAGTGTCGGATTCGCCGCCTTAAACGCCGCCGCGAAGGCCATGGTTCGAGGACAAAACATCGTCTTTGGATGAGAGTCGTGCGGAGGAACCGTTTCTGGTGTGTGACGACGATCTTTCCGTTTGCTCTGATGATGGTTCCGTACCTCGTCCACCCGCAGCTACGAAGAGAAGGATTGCAGTGTCTGATTCGTCGTCTGACTCGGATTCAAGTGAAACTGAAGCAGTTGAAACACAGTCTGTGGCTGCTGTACCCGCTGGCAAAAAGAAACAGGGTTGTGTGAGCTATCAAGCTGCCTGGGAGGAGAACCCTGTCCTGAAAGATTGGCTGACCAAATCAAAACGCGCGGATGGAAAAGCCTTCTGCAAAATATGCCAGAAGGACTTGGAGTTTGGGAATGGAGGAGCATATGACTTGGAGTGCCATGGAAAATCGGTGGCTCATCAGAAGCGAGCGGAGTCTGCAAAGACACAACCCAGTCTTTCTGCTACAGTGTCGCAGGCCTCTGCTATGTCGCAAGCGGTGACTGACGGTGAGCTGTCAATGGCCTTTTTCATTGCGGAACACAGACTTCTTTCACGACGGCTGACCATTTGAGTCAACTGTTCGGAAAGGTATGCCCAGATTCGGCTATTGCACAGCGTATGAAAGCTGCCCGCACAAAGACTAGTGCAGCAGTCGAGGTGATTGCCAATACCTACCACAGCCAGCTTGTTACTTGGATGAAGGAAAAGCCATTCTTCATTCTGGTTGACGAGTCTGCTGACATATCCGTGATGGAGCAAGTGGCATTCGCTGTCCGTATTTGCCGCAACGAGACGAAAACGTACCACTATGTAACCAAGACGGTCAGCGCCCCGGATGCCGACAATATCTTCAGTGCGCTAGCTGAGGCCTTTACGGAAGATGCCATACCGTGGGACGTGTTGTGCTTCTGCAGCGACGGGGCTAACGTCATGAGAGGCAGCAAAAACTCCGTCCTGACACGTGTCCTTGCTGAGCAGCCATCAGCATATGCAATGTACTGCCCATTCCATGTGTTGGCGTTGTGTGCCAGTAATGCGGCGACATCTTATGATGAGGAGATGCAGCCACTGCTGGTGGGCATAGCATATCATTTTGAGCATAGCCCCAGACGGTGTGCAGCATTGGAGGATGTGCAGAAGAACCTTGGCTTACCGCAACACTAGATGGTGAAGCCGGCAACAACTCGTTGGCTCGCTCTTGAGCAATCGATCAGCCGCGTTCTTGACCAGTGGCGTGCCCTGAAGGAGTTCTTCTCCAACGGGCCATCATCGTCCACCACGAAAGCGACGAGCATTCGCAAGGCCATTCAAGAACCGTCAACCAAGGCACCAGAGTATGCACTGTATGTGCAGGGAATGCTGGTCACCTAATTCTAAATTACACCTGAAACCTGGCAGGTCCCTGACACCGAAATTTGAATACACCTAAAATTACATGTTTTACAGTATTCGAATTCTCAGGATTCCACCTGTACTGGACTGTATGTGCATACCGTGAGACAGCACTGGGCGTACGGCGACATTGAACTACATGTAACTTACCGATAAACTTCTCATGGACGGACTCCATACGGACACATCTGCGGAAAACACAAAAGCAGCAAACCAAAAAGAGATTTACCTGATCCGCCTGCAGCACACAGATACCTGCTGGGAACTCTTGCATGCCAATAACGCACCTCCTCTAAGCACGCAGGATAAGGGTCAAAAATGTAATTGCTGGCTTCTCGATCGTGTTAGGGCTCATGAGTGGAGATCAGAGTTACTGGCCAAACAAAACATAATCAAGTCCACCAAAAAAACACAAAAAAAACAAACAAACAAGCAGACCCAACCCCATGGCATTCTCTCCGGGCTGCATGTTTGCATTCCGTTCCTGGGCATTTTCAGCTACGGCACACCTCGCACCCTGTCTCAGCATTCTATCTATGCACTGTCTGAACTTTACTCAAGTATACCCTGATACCATGATCCGTCTGTCTTTTCCTCCAGCACAACAAGGACACTCAGAAGGTGGTGGACATCACGCTACTGCATTGTAAATAAAAGGGGGTTTGTCAACTGACAACCACTCTATTGCTATTCAGTCAACAAGTATACATACCCGTGTTATCTTATTCATGTAAAGATGCAAGAACGCTCCACTACCAAAGGCGTTGCCGATGTTCTAACGCTTGAAATCTGAACAGCCACAGCAGGGGTAGACATACCGGCGAGACGAAGAGTGGAGCTTGGCCAAGCCGTGCAGACAACTTTCTGTATGGGCATGGCAAAACAAAGTCCAGAAAAGACCATGTAAATACTAGAGGGAGGGAGAGAGGAGAGAGAGAGAGAGAGAGAGAGAGAGAGAGAGAGAGAGAGAGAGAGAGAGAGAGAGAGAGAGAGAGAGAGAGAGAGAGAGAGAGAGAGAGAGAGAGAGAGAGAGAGAGAGAGAGAGAGAGAGAGATATGGATGGCATGGGTGCCGGATCAGCGGCACTTTACGGTACACCCATGACGTCCAATTTCTCAAGCCAAGGACTGAACATCAGGACAGCGCTACATTGGAAAAGCCAAGGTTGGCGAATTCTGTCCTTGTACAGCTGGGCGGCGAAATCCGACCCAAAGTGCATGCCGTTATTTAGCGCCCTGGCAGTGCACTGCCGCTGATGCTTTGAAATCAGCGTGAATACTTAGGAGCATACACATGCACAAATACGAGTACAACGGTGAGATCATAAATAGCCCAGGGCACCGCCAGCCCTGAAGGCTGGTACTCAGGATGAGATTTAAACTAGTGCAGTGGTACTGTCGTGGGAATAGAACTCCGATGGGATGACCCCCCCCCCCCCCCCCTTTACTGCTTTTAGCATTCATGCACATACTGTAAGCATGGACCAGCAGTGCTCGTGCCAGCAAGGCTAGCGCCCCATGGGAGCGCGACTTCTCAACGGATTTCAATGTCCGCGCTGGTAGTTACTTTCAGCCGCCCAATATTTGCGTCACTAAATTTTCGCGATTTCTCAGAAGCAGTGAGTTTACGATGGCAAATTTTCGCAAAACACTGCGGCTACACACATGCACCCACTGTTGAAGTTTGATGGCACGATGGTTAACCCTTTCCCTGCCACGTCTTGATCGGGGGTGCTGGGCACGTCATGGTGAACGCAAACTCACAATGCACTCACCTACATGCTCAGGTTCAGAACTAAATTTATTTTATTGTCACTTCACATTGACAGATTTCCACGATCTATGGCTTGTTGGAAAGATGTGGATCTGACGAAGACACCACGATAGTTTCCAGCTCAAAAGACACGCCAGGAAGACTGCTATATTCTCTCCAAGTCCCCCTACCATGCCTGAAAATTGCAAAACAACAACATCTCGCATTTTCTATCGTCTCCTTACTCACTCTGAAAGTATTTTCACGATTCCAACTGCAAAGGAAAGCTGAGATTCAAGCGCTTCTTTTGATACGCAATACGCATGCATTGCTCTCAAGAGAAATCCCCAGCATGCACGTAGTGACGAGCAAAAAGTTTGAGTTAATCGCCGGCAGGTAATATTTAAAATTGCCAGCTATTCACATCGTCGGCGCTCAGTCATACATTGGGCTATCGCGAAGATCATTACATCAGTGGAAAGCTGAGTCCAATATCTTTCCAACGATGCATCATTTGTGAGAATCCCTTGCCGTTTGAGTGAGTTACGATAGTTTGAACACTCGTCTATATGCCGTGATGGGTCGTAGTGTACACTGTACACTTTGGGTGCGTCGCGTATACTCGACGCTGGCCACCCAGGGTACATCCTGAGCGTCGCGTATACGCGACGCTGGCGTGCAAAGGGTTAATACCCGCGGTATTCTCTTCTCGCAAAACTAGCAAACACGAATAAGTCGCAAACATTAGGCAGTGGCAGTTATTGCATGCACCGGTGCTATGTGACCTACCTGGTCGGTGCCAGTGAGCAGTACGTTATCACCGATACTCATCTGGCAGGCCTCCATAGTCTTCGTGTGCAGGAACACATAGTGGTCCTGCTTAGGGCCAGACTTTGGTGCGGCGTCTTCAAAGCAGAAGAAAATGGGAAACACACACACACACACACACACACACACATACACACACACACACCACACACACACATACACGCACACACGGCATGACATGAACCCATGATTATTGATAGCATGTCCATGAAAAACACTCCAGTCATGAACATAAGTTCAAGCCATGAGCCGCACAAAAAAAGTACACAATCTGTGCTGAAGACGTTCGCCACAATGTGAACTGATGCAGCTATGTAATCTTGTCGTGGTTCATGGATTTGTGTTATTAGTTGGCTTTCATGTATGTGCCTTGACATCTTCGAATTGCGTAAGGGGCCATCCGTAAATATAAATATTTATTCAGAAACGAAAACTACCGTATTTGTCGGAGTATAGTGCGCACCTTTGTATAACGCGCACCCCCAATCTTCATTGGGGGTGCGCCCTTCAATCTTCATTGAAGTACATGCATTTCATATTCGGAGCATAGTGCGCACCTGCGATTTATGGCCTAAAATAGCACATCTAAAGTGCGCACTATACTCCGGAAAATACGGTAGTCGTTTAGGGGGGGAGGGGGTTGAGCGCTTGTTCGTTTCTCGAAAAAAAATATCGATGCACAGATTGTATGTGTGGGCACGTCCAGAAAAGAAAAGACTAAATACCGATACTATGTATCGTTTGTACGTGTTTATTTCTGAGGGAGGGGGGGGGGGGGGGGAGGGGGGTTGAAGAGAACCGACTAGTTTTCGTTTCTAAATAAATATCGGTATTTACAGATGATCCCTAATTATTCTCAGAATTTATTGTTGTATTTTAGTATAGCGTTTGTAGTTGAGACACATTGTTGCGTCGATACAATTCAGTTCTCCTTATTAGTATCGCGCTAGTTGTATGAATTACAAAGTAGCAGTCAAAATGCCTGGCAGTCGCACTGTGCATCTACTGCTTACACAGCTGCATAATGCCGTTTATTATTCCCGTAGCTATGCAGAAGACGTTATTTCAGTAACTTCTGGCGCTAGCCAGGGTCCACACAGCTTTAATTTGGTATTTGTGTGTGTGTTTGTTTGTTTGTTTGTGTCACGCCTGGCGCTATCCGTATCTGACGGCAAAAAAGCATAGGATGTTTAAATTTTTAAATTCTCCTATTTTTTTTTCAGGCATATCCTGGGATTCGAACCCGCACTATCGCCCTACATGAATTTCCCCATACACTTCGCATTCATACCCATTCTTCCAAGTTACTTCACGTTATTATCTTGCGTTTGAAAGCCCTATTTGAATATTGCGGGCAGCTATATGTGGCCAGCTGTGTTTGATGGTACGGTACGGTACGGGAGACGGTGTCGTATTACCCTCGATCGTACCTGTCCCGTACCTATCCCCTACCGTACCGTGCCATCAAAGACGGCTGGCCACAATGCATATTCAAATAGGGCTTTCAAATGCAAGATCACAATGTGAAACAACTTGGAAGAATGGGTATGAATGCGAAGTGTAGGGGGGAATGCATGTAGGGCGATAGTGCGGGTTCGAATCCCAGGATATGCCTGAAAAAAAATTGGAGAATTGAAAAATTTATAACATCCTATGCTTTTTTGCCATCAGATCACAATGTGAAACAACTTGGAAGAATTAGTATGTATGCGAAGTGTATCGGGGGATGCATGCAGGGCGCGCGATAGTGCGGGTTCGAATCCCAGGTTATGTCTTAAAAAAGAGGATTTTTTTAAAGAATTTATAACATCCCTATGCTTTTTTTTGTCTAGGTCATCAAGGCAAAAAAGCATAGCGTAGGGCCCTGAGCTTCCAAGCTCTCTCGTTATTTATTTTTTAATTTTACTTTTATTATTTTTCGGCAACGCAGATGATGATGATGATGATGATTTTTTTTTGATGATGATGAAGCCACTTCTTTGGGCAAACAAAACACAATTTCCCAAGATGAAGGAGTGGAACCCTACACAAATAATAGTTTAAATGAATCCAACGCAAAGATCGTTTTTCCATGAAATACAACAATTGAACACAATTACATGCTTAAAGGCATGAAAGCAACAAAACAGCAACAAAAGGGTAAGCGCCATACCAATCCCGCATGCACAGTCAGGACACAGCACGATACTTAACAAACTAGACCTGACTCGGCCACGGCAATCGAGACATCATGAAAACATCTCGCCGGATGGTGGTACCGTGACCGAGCCCCACGTATGCACAACACAGCAGCACGCAGCAAAGCAAAAGACAGCCGACAACGGAGTAAACCAATGATGATGATGATGATGATGATGATGATGATGATGATGACTGAACTGAAGTACCCACTAGTAATGGGCATACTACGCACCCGTTTGTCTTTCTGCTTGCTGCGGTGGGCAGTCACCTGCTTCCGCGGTTGCCGCGGTTCGTACGGCAAGAGGCGACAGCCGAACTCATTTCTGGCCCAGTGCCGCCAGGCGGAGTAGGGTGCTGCCTTTGGCCTCAACTTAATATAATGCTATTTGGTTTTTTCCCCTTTTATTACTCTGTGTTCATTGCTTGTTTTTGTATTGATTTACTTCCTTGACTGCTTTTGTGTTTCATCATTTTCCGGTTGGTTTTGTGTTGATTTCCCCTGTTCACTTTACATATTGTAATGATATACATTTGCTTTGCCCGTAAAAGAGGCTTTTCTCATGATGATGATGATGATGATGATGATGATGATGATGATGATCACCTTGCTCACCTTGCTCACCTTGTTCGGCTGAGATACTGGCCGAGCTTGATGAGAGGATCAATGATTGCCTGATACCTGCCCTTCTGGGGGATGGCGTTCGTCCTGGTAGCCCTGAGAGAGAGCTGATGTCATTTCCAGTGCGTCTTGGTGGTTTGGCCCTCCCTCTGTTGCAGGATAGTGCACCAGCAGAGCTCGCAGCATCCTTGAGCATCACAAAGCCTCTTGTTCAGCTACTGTTGACTGGCACATATGCGAACCCTCCAAGCGTGCCTGGTGATATGGCAAGGAGCGATTTGTCGGATACTGCCCAGTCAGAGGGCTCCGGTGATACAACCCAGGAGGTTGCCGACCGAGTGAGGCTCTCCAATCATGATCCCGTCCGCGATGCTGTTGGGGACACCCGCCAGCTGGCACGCTCGACTCGGACAAGCAAAATGCGGAGCCTATGCAGCCGGCAACAAGACATTAAGGCGGACTTGAGCTCGGAGCAACAATTTCTTGTTGAAATCGCGTCCGAAAAGGGAGTATCGTCATGGTTGACTGTTGCCCCGCGGTGGCAAGATGGAACCATCCTGAGGAAATCCGACTTCCGTGATGCCCTGTGCATCCGCTATGGGCGAAGGTTGAGTGGGCTACCCGATTCATGTGTTTGTGGTGTGCCTCTCAGCCCCGCTCATGCACTTACCTGTGCCACTGGCGGCTATACCATTGCCCGTCACAATGAGGTGCGGGACTTGGTTGCTGGACTACTGAGGGAGGCTGGAGTGGTGGACGTAGAGACGGAGCCCCGGCTATTGCCCTGCAGCAGTGAGCATTTGCCTGGTGGTCGTTCCCTCAACCGATGCGCAGAAGCTCGTCTGGATGTGCGGGCTCGCGGCTTTTGGTCGTGGCAACAGGACGCTTACTTTGATGTGCGGATCACTCATCCCGCAGCGTCTGTGTTGTCTCGATCACAAGCCCTGAGTCAGCTGAAGTCTCACGAGCGAAACAAGAAAAATCAATACGCCAGCCGTGTGGTTAACGTGGAGCGCGGCTCCTTCACGCCACTTGTGTTCTCGACGTACGGCTTTAGTGGCCCAGAAACTACTCAATTCCTGAAATCATTGGCCTCCCTGTTTGTTGAGCGCCATACTGAACTGAAGTACCCACTAGTAATGGGCATACTACGCACCCGTTTGTCTTTCTGCTTGCTGCGATGGGCAGTCACCTGCTTCCGCGGTTGCCGCGGTTCGTACGGCAAGAGGCGACAGCCGAACTCATTTCTGGCCCAGTGCCGCCAGGCGGAGTAGGGTGCTGCCTTTGGCCTCAACTTAATATAATGCTATTTTGGTTTTTTCCCCTTTTATTACTCTGTGTTCATTGCTTGTTTTTGTATTGATTTACTTCCTTGACTGCTTTTGTGTTTCATCATTTTCCGGTGGGTTTTGTGTTGATTTCCCCTGTTCACTTTACATATTGTAATGATATACATTTGCTTTGCCCGTAAAAGAGGCTTTTCTCATGATGATGATGATGATGATGATGATGATGATGATGATGATGAGTCAAAATCTATTCTTCTAGTCGGTTGAGTAATAGACATTCGTTCCACAGGAATTGCCATAATTACCGTTGTGCAGATTCTCACCTGATTTCGTTCGTTCCGCGTTCCATAGTTTTTCTATTCTAGCGCCCCACAGTTTCTGACAGGGTTTGTCATCACCAGTTGGGGTGTTGCCACTCACTGGCAGATTGATAGACATATTTCACCCGCACAAATTCTCTGCACAGCAAGTATTTCAAGTCCTTGGTTCTCTTTTCTTTACAATTCACACTTGAATTTTCGTTTCTCTTGTTTTCTTGCTTCTGCACTGACGCAGCGTTTCATATCTTGATTTCCACGAACGCGTCGTAGCGTATCGCAATCCCGTCGTCGCGTACCGCGATTCCGGACGCGACGCTGTATTTCACTCTGCACGCGTACGAACCTGTACGCTTTTGTTTTTGCTGTCGATCGAGCGTATTCGGCGGAGCTCGTTGTGAGCTTGCCAGAGATGTTTTAGAGAAGAATGGCGACATTCGTTGAGTTTCGAGTCTTCCTTGTTGCGTGCTAGCCAACCGATCTTTAGTTCGTTACGGGACGATAAACCTCCGTAACATTTGGTAGCAGAGGATGGTTGAAGAAGGACACAGCAGTCGGCGAGGCATACAGCAACGTAATTGAGTCATAAGTGAAGAAGTGCTACGTCGGCAAGGTGCCACCCACGGAAGTCAGCACAACACGACGGTTACTTCCACACTTTCCCGTCCTAAGACCGGACAAGAGCACAACGAAGCTGCGCATAGTGTTTGACGCGGCGGCACGCTGCCAAGGCAACTCACTAAATGAACACCTCCACGCGGGCCTGAAGCTGCAACGCAGTCTCTTCGATGTTCTCCTTTGCTTTCGGCAGCACCCAGTCGCCATCGTATGCGACATATCAGAAATGTACCCGCAAGTGAAGGTAGCACCAGCCGATTGTCCCTGCCTACATTTCCTGTGGCGAAATCTCGACACCAGTAAGCCACCCGATACGTATGAATTTGAGAGAGTTGTGTTCGGCCTCTGCGTGTCACAGTTTCTGGCACAATTTGTTGCGCAGGAACACGCTAGACGACACCGAGAAGAAAGCCCCCGAGCAGCCGAGTCCATACTTGACTCCACCTACATGGACGATACGCTGGATTCGGTGGAAACTGTAGCAGACAGCAAGAAGCTGTACCACGATCTGTCAGCGATGTGGGCTGGAGCCGGCATGAGCGCACGCAAGTGGCTGTCGAATGCACCGGAAGTGCTCGAAGCCATCCCAGCAGAGCTACGAGCAGCCGAAATCAATCTGGAGTCTGGGGAGCTACCGGCGGTTAAAGCTCTCGGCATTCTCTGGAAAGCAGCCGAAGACGTGTTCACGTTCCGTCCGGCAACCTCAAGTGAAACAATCAGCACGAAGCGCCAGTTTCTGCAGCGCATCAGTCAGCTCTTCGACCCGCTAGGCCTGATTGCACCAGTAGTTGTGCAGGGCAAGATCATTATGCAGGACATATGGACGTCCGGCACAAACTGGGACGAAGAACTGAATCCGCTACTGAAAGCCTCAGCAACCAGGTGGTTTCAGCAGCTACAGCAACTCGTGTCAATCAGAGTCCCAAGATGCCTCAGCTTGACTAACAGCCAGCAGCAGCTGCATGTGTTTGCAGATGCATCCAGTCTCGCTTATGGCACAGCCGTATACATGTGCAGCTAGGATAGCAGTGATGTCGCGGCTCGGTTCGTGGCAGCAAAGAGTCGCGTCGTTCCGCTGCAAGCGATCAGCATTCCTCGGCTCGAGTTGATGGCTGCAGTAACCGCAGCAGAACTCGGATCTGCAGTTGCTTCAGCAACACAGCTACAGCTGCAGAATGCAGTCTTCTGGACTGATTCCATGGATGTATTCCATTGGGTCCGGCAACCCAGTCGGCAATACAAGCCATTCATCGCGCATCGGATTGGCTACATCCAGACGCTAACTCGACCTGGGCAGTGGCGCTATGTCCCGACAGCGCTCAATCCAGCAGATCTCGTGTCCCGAGGCGCAACGGTAACGAACCTCGCGGAGAGCAGCTTGTGGTGGGAAGGTCCTGCCTTTCTCCTGCAGCCATCTACAGAGTGGCCACAACCAGCAGCTACCATGACAGCATCGCCAACAGCTGCTGCAGAAGTCCGCAAGACAGCAGCGCTTCCGTCAACATTTGCCAGTGTAACCACATCAAACACCGACACCATGTGGCGATTAACCCCAGAGCGTCATTCAGATTTTCAGCGTCTCGTACGGATAACAGGATTGGTGTTACGCTTTATCAGTAATGTGGGCAGTAATCAGCGTGCCAGGGGGGAGCTGACAGTCTCAGAGCTTCAAGACGCCGAGCGTCTGTTGTTCAAGGACGCACAAGCAGAAGCCTTTGGACAAGAGCTGCAGGCACTAGCAAAGGGCAAGGCCCTTCCAGCTAGTTCAGTTCTCAGCAAGCTAAGTCCCAGAGTCGACGAAGTCGAAGATGTTCTGTTACGTTGCGACGGTCGAACGAAGTACGCAGAGTGGCTACCGTACGACGTACGTTACCCAGTTATTCTGCCACGACACCACCATATCACGAAGTTAGTGGTTAAGCATCACCACGAATTGCAGCAGCACGGCGGTACCAACCAGACACTTTCATCGGTATGCGAGAGATTCTGGATAGTGGCTGCTCGAGAGATGATACGGGAGTGGGAACAGGAATGTGCGAGGTGCACACGCACGAGGGCGAAGCCAGCTGAGCAAGTGATGGCACACCTTCCGAAGAGTCGTCTGGAGCCACCACTTCGAGCATTTGCTAAGACGGCCGTGGACTTTGCTGGGCCGTATATCACAATCCAAGGCCGTGGAAGAGCACGTCAGAAGCGATACTTGTGCCTCTTCACCTGTCTGTTAAGTCGTGCAGTTCATCTGGAGCTTGCGTATGGGCTTGATACTGATTCGTTCCTGCGCGCATTCTCGCGTTTTGTCCGTCGCCGTGGATTACCAGTGCAAGTTCTGTCAGACAACGGAAATAACTTTATCGGCGCTAATCGGGAGCTGGTCGATGGGCTCGACAAAGATGCCATCCAGCGGTCAGCAGCAAACCGCAAGATGGACTGGTCATTCAACCCACCACTCGCCCCGCATTTCGGCGGAGCGCACGAAGCCATGATAAAGTCAGCGAAAAGAGCAACTGCCAAGATCCTAGGGAACGCAGACATTACAGATGAAGAGTTGATGACTGCCTTCACAGGTGCGGAAGCCCTACTCAACTCGCGCCCACTGACCTTCCAAAGCGCTAACCCTGCAGATGTCCCTTGACACCCAACCACTTCCTGATTGGGCAAGCCGGTGGTCAGTATGCACACAAGTCAGTGGACACTCAGCCAATTCACCCGAGGAACCGGTGGCGTCGTATCCAAGAGCTGCTGCAGCACTTCTGGCAGCGTTGGCTGACAGAGTGGGTTCCGGCATTGAATCAGCACCGGAAGTGACTTGCCGAGCGTAAGGACGTCAGCTGTGACGACGTTGTCCTAGTCATCCAACCTGATTCCCCACGTGGTCAATGGCCATTGGGTCGAGTCACTCAGACCTTCCCGGGCGCTGACGGAAAGGTACGCGTCGTCGAAGTGCAGGTCACCGGTAAGCGAATGACCCGACCAATTACGAAGGTATGCCCTCTAGAGTTTGTAGATTGATCCTAGTCGGATCAAGAAGGGGAGGATGTGCTGAAGACGTTCGCCACAATGTGAACTGATGCAGCTATGTAATCTTGTCGTGGTTCATGGATTTGTGTTATTAGTTTGCTTTCATGTATGTGCCTTGACATCGAATTGCGTAATTATTCTCAGAATTTATTGTTGTATTTTAGTATAGCGTTTGTAGTTGAGACATATTGTTGCGTCGATACAATTCAGCTCACCTTATTAGTATCGCGCTAGTTGTATGAATTACAAGTAGCAGTCAAAATCTATTCTCTAGTCGGTTGAGTAATAGACATTCGTTCCACAGGAATTGCCACAATTATCGTTGTGCAGATTCTCACCTGATTTCGTTCGTTCCGCGTTCCATAGCTTTTCTATTCTACGCCCCGCAGTTTCTGACAGGGTTTGTTATCACCCGTTGGGGTGTTGCCACTCACTGGCAGATTGATAGACATATTTCACCCGCACAAATTCTCTGCACCGCAAGTATTTCAAGTCCTTGGTTCTCTTTTCTTTACAATTCACACTTGAATTTTCGTTTCTCTTGTTTTCTTGCTTCTGCACTGACGCAGCGTTTCATATCTTGATTTCCACGAACGCGTCGTAGCGTATCGCAATCCCGTCGTCGCGTACCGCGATTCCGGACGCGACGCTGTATTTCACTCTGCACGCGTACGAACCCGTACGCTTTTGTTTTTTGCTGTCGATCGAGCGTATTCGGCGGAGCTCGTTGTGAGCTTGCCAAAGATGTTTTAGAGAAGAATGGCGACATTCGTTGAGGTTCGAGTCTTCCTTGTTGCATGCTGGCCCACCGATCTTTAGTCCGTTACGGAACGATAAACCTCCGTAACACAATCGACAATCAACATTGACAGACGGTTCCAGACTACGGTTGTCCTTCATATATGATACTGGAACCACACGCACTCTAGAGATGATACAGTCAGACCTCACTTAACCGCACACACCCATTTTCCACAGAAAGATCCGGATAGGCGAGGGAATCGGATAACCGAACAACGGTTACGTTGGATGCACTACTTATGCTGTAAATCTGTAACCAGCTATTTTCTTCCGGATGGCGAGGGATCCGGATAACGGAGAACTGACTGCAGTGAGAAACATCCGCCGCAACTCAGACTGACACACCAGATTATTGTGCTTGTATTCATTTCGCACTTCGCACTGTTCCACCTATATTGCACATGTATTATAATAATAATAATAATAATAATAATAATAATAATAATAATAATAATAATAATAATAATAATAATAATAATAATAATAATAATAATAATAATAATAATAATAATAATAAACACAGCTCACATCTTCCCTGAACCTGTTAGACAGGAGCAGAGTCGACGCATCTGTCAACAGTGTCAAGCCAAGTTAGTCTATCCCCTGCAGCTTGGAGAGCGCTCTCCACGGAGAGATCCGCTGCCTTCAGGTCGTGCCGAATCGTATCTATCCACCGCAATGGCGGACGGCCACGGGTTTTTTTATGTCGTTTGTGTTGATTGATATACATGTATATGTTGCACCTAAATGTTGCACCTAAATGTTTCACACTCTTTGCATTTATTTACTTACTTGTTCATTCGTGTATTCCCTATTGTGATGAATTTTCCAACTGATGATCGTCAAAAAGAAAACGTTTTTGGAAATCTGAAGACTTACCTTGAATTGTGTGTTAGAGTAATGAGTGCACAAATTATTTTATTCAGAGCTAAATATTTTACCGCCATATTGCCAGGTGTGTCTTTACCACCATATTTATCAACCAGAGCTTCATAGCTATATATATTTTTTTAATTAAATTTTGAATACTATGCTCCAGATTTTATCCTGATAACTGCATCAAACATGTGACTGTCTACAAATTCTTCCATTTACCTCCGTCAGCTTGGCGCAAGTAGCCTCGAACATACACTCCGGGCAGGAGAAGAGCCCCATCCACGTCACACACCAGGGCATCGCCACTGGCGTCCTTTTGCCAGCCATTCGGCGTCTTGCTGTCGCCTTTCTTTGGCGTTCTGCCGGAGCGCGAGGATGCTTGCTGCGACTTGGGCGGCATTGCACTCGCAAGTTTCTCCTGCCAATTATTTACTTCGCAAGCAGCTGGAGGTTGTTTACTGCAAATAAAGCTGCAGTTCAAAAGTCAAAGCACAAAAATAGCCTCGATCGAGGCCTCGGATTTTGTGAATAAAAAAACGTTTTTATTCCGGATTCGAATTTTTTTGTAGCTCGATCAAGCGCGCGTGTTAATATTACTTTTTAAAAATAGTAACGTTACATGTTAATGTTGTGAACACGTGCACGCGCACGTGCTTCCACAGGCATGACGTCATCCGTGCATCAAAAATCAGGGCGTCGTAAAATACCGACTTCCTGCATAGCAAGTAACATAGTTAGTTCCTGGTCGCGAAGACCCGCGAAACCGAGGCAAGAGACTTGAAGAGTAGTCTTTCACGGTACCGTCTTGATTTATGAGTCTTGGCGAAACGCGGCACTATCGCATAGCAACACGTATGCAGTCATAGACTTAGTACTAGACTAGAGACAGACTTGTCATGTACAGACAAACCCGACTTTGCGGACACTTGAGAAAAACGGACACTTGCACCCAGTGACCAGTCAGTGCACAGAAGGGACTGGGAGTACTGTAAACTAAATAAGTGTAAAGTGAGAAACTTTCGCTGGAGATTTTAAAAATTTCGCTATTTTCGCGACCATCACACATTCGCGAATATAAATCGCCGTAAACCTCTCCCTACACTGATTGTAGACCGTACAAGATCCGATTGAAAATATAGAATCGCAAACGTTTCTCATCGTGAGCCAGCCCGATTTATGAAAACGCTAAATTTGCACGCCGCGAACGTTTGTCGCTTTACAGTACTGAAAAACCGGTGTTTTAGTACTCCCTGGTGCACATTGAGGACCAGCCTGGTCCAGCGAGTCGCAGTCCCATTGATTTTGTGTACATACTGTGACAGGCTACATACAAGAGACTACATAACAATACAAGAGAGAAGTTGAGTAGTCCTCTTACCATGCTTTCGGCTTTGGTGATCGTGTTCTGGCTATTGCAGCTTGTTCTGCCCTGGGGAACGAAACAGCTATCGTATGAGTGTAGCGTAAAGTATCGCAAGAGCGCCCCGCCGGCATCCGAGTCGTACGTTCGTGGTCGTCTTGAGGAGGTGATGCCCTGTCTGTAGGTCAAGCAACGCGGACTTTGCACATCTACATCATGTACACACATTGCACGTTGTGCACGCATTCCGGACTCAGTTTATCTTTGGGAGTTTGGGCCGCGGATGAGCTCCACACACACACAGAACATGCCCAGTGTGACCAGAGTCCAGAGTAGACTGAAGTACCGTATTTCCGCAAATAAAAGGCCGTCCTCGTTTACAACGCCTTCCTCGTATACAAGGCCGGGGCAGGGGGCGATTGAAAAAATAAAAGACCGTCTCCGATTAGAAGACCGGGCCTACTAAATGAGTCTTGTTCTTGTGTTAAAAATAGAAGACCGTACTCAAACTGTGGGAAAAAATAGAAGAGCGTGCTCAAACTGTGTAGAAGAAAATGGAAGAACGGGGGTAAAACTGTGTGGCGAGAAATAGAAGACCGGGGTCAAACTGGGTTGAAAGAATAAAAGACCGTCCTCGAATACAAGACCGTCCTCGATTATAAGGCCGGGTTAGGACGAGGTTGAAAAAATAGTAGACCGGCCTACTATTTGTGGAAATACGGTAACTGGTTAGTTCTCAAACTCACAATGCAGTAGTAGCACTTCTGCCATACGAGTTTCCTTCCCTGTAAAATCAAGGTGGGGCGCTCTCGCAAGACGGGCACGCGGTACTTTACGGTACCGTGATGTATGTCCTCGAGACCGCATGATTCACGTTCAGAATCAGAAGAGCTAGAAGCATAGTCTAGGCTAGCAAGCAATCCTATCTACGATTACAATCTGCTTCCTTGCAGTTACATGTAAAGCGAAGACACTGGCCACCGCACTAAACAGACGGCGAACACTAGGCTTCCATCATTTAGTGTCTTGCTACTTTTCAGTGGAAAATGAAGTGTTATTAGCATTATCCATTGATTTGAGGGAAAGATGCAAACTGGAAAAGTCTGAAGTGACGGAAAACTTGACTGTCACCACCACGCCCACGGTCCGCCACGCCCAGGACTCGAAACAGTGACATTCGCTTGAGGCCAGCGATGCTCCAACCACTGAGCTGTGGTGTGCTAGGCTATGATGTTAGCATTATGCTCATTCCAAACCACACACACATACACGGCTTCTTACATCATTACATGTACATGCAGAATGCTGCCAGGCAATATCCGACAAGGCCTATGTGACATGATTGTGGTGCCCGTCATTTTTGTCATCGTACGTTTGCATGTGCTTAGTAACAGCAGCTTAGGCATAGACCAGGGAACTGTCAAAATATCCCGTTGTTTGAAGGGCTGTGGACCAGATAGGAAGCGGTATAAACGGGTGTATACCTTGGTATACGACTCCCCGATAGTGATAGCTGTGGACTTCATGATACTCCCCATCATTCGGCATTTGCAGCAGCAACACGACGCCGTTAAGCAGATTTGGTATGCGGATGACTCCAGTGGTGCTGGCAGGATGAGAGCGATTCGAGACTGGTGGACAACAATCCAGGAACACGGTCGCCTGTATGGATATTTCACCAATCCGGACAAAACCCTACTTCTCGTGAAGCCCGGATTGGAGGAGGAGGCTTCACATCTGTTTGAAGGCACCGGTGTCCGCATTGTCACCGGCAGCACTAAATATCTGGGCTCATACATTGGGGAGCCTGATGATGTTGCCAGCCAAGTGAGGGAGAGGGTTGATGATTGGTGCAAGGAGCTACGCACATTAGCAAAGTTTGCCAGCACAGAGCCTCACGCGGCTTATGCAGCTTTGACTCATGGCCTGCGGGGTCGTTGGGTCTACCTCTTTCGTACGGTTCCCATTCCGGAGGACGCAGTATCAGCGTTGGACAAGGTAATCGAAACTGAGCTCTTGCCGGCTGCAACTGGTCGAGATGCATTCACCACGGAGGATTTGGTGATGCTCAGGCTGCCGACTCGTTTCGGGGGAATGGCCATTCCACACTTTCACAGCATGAGCGGGACAGAGCGCGACGCTTCCAGAGCAATGACAGCAGCCCAGGTTAGTGAAATTCTGCAACAGAACAACACATCATGGACCAAGCAAGCACCGGAACGTGTTCGACAAGATGCTATGACAGCCAAGAGGGATTTTGCCAGACAACGCGGCACAGCAAGTGAGGCTGAGTTCCGCCAGCTGCGGCAGTCGGCGTCGGCGGATATGTCGCGTCGTTTGGAGCATTTGTCCTCCCGAGGTGTCTCTAGCTGGCTCAACACACTGCCTATCAGAGAACACGGATATCATCTGTCGAAGGGAGATTTCAGGGATGCGGTGGCGTTGCGGTATGACTGGGCATTGGTTGATGTGCCTACTACCTGCTCTTGTGGCCAACCGTTTAGTCCGGCCCATGCCATGTGTTGCCCTACTGGTGGTTTCCCCACCATTCGGCACAATGAAGTTCGCGATATTCTTGCCGATTTACTTACTGAAGTTTGCTCGGATGTCGCTGTCGAGCCTCAGCTTGCTCCGGTTTCGGGAGAGGTGTTTCTGGCAGCCTCAACTATCACCGCCAACGATGCTCGCGCTGATATCCGGGCTCGAGGGCTGTGGACCAGGGCACAGAATGCTTTCCTGGATGTCCGGGTTTTTCATCCCGATGCTCCGTCCTATGCCACCAAACCTCTCGACAAACTGTTGGCGGAGCATGAGAGGAAGAAGAAGCTGCAGTATGCTGAGCGCATCATCAATGTGGACCGTGGGACATTTACTCCACTAGTTTTCACCACGGCCGGTTGTTGTGCGCCAGAGTGCTCCAGATTTGTTAAGCGCCTGTGTGGCCTCATTTCGAGTGGGGACACGAAGTTGTATGCCCAGACAATGACATATGTCCGGTGTCGACTGGCGTTTGCATTGTTGCGGTCGGCGATCATGTGCATCCGCGGTGCTCGATCGTCATATCACCGTCCTGTGAATGCATTGCGAGAGTTGGCAATCTCGGAGGGCCGGCTGTGAGGTTTTGGAGACGATGGTGGGCAGGACAGTGCCCTTGTATTTTCCTGGTTTTTGTTTTTTGTTTGTTTTTTTGTTTGTTTTTGTTTTTGGTGTTTTTGTTTTTTTTTGTTTTTTTTTGTTTTTTGTTTTTTGTTTTTTTGTTTCTCGTTTTTGCGTTTTTTCACACATACAATTGTTTTCATTTTTTGGTGTTGTGTTCTAATCATTCGCCATGCCACTGTCAATTGTGTTCTGTTTGCCCGTAAAAGAGGCCTTTTAGTTTACTTCATGATACATAGTGGGCTACGTAGAGTCTACCGATTATGACTGTTTGTTTTTTGTTTTGTTTTGTTTTTCTCTCAAGTCTACCGATTATGTAGTCGACATCATTGTAATAACTAACTAAGGGGTCGTCCGTAATTTTCGAAAAATTAAAAAATCCGTCCTCCTGCAAAATTGTCTCTGACCCACCCACCCACCCCCCATTTTTCCCATTAATTTTTTGATTTTTACCGATGCCGGCATACCCAGCTCGAAAAATAAGAACTCCTGACCCCATGTTTTCTGACTGCACCTGTGTCAAGTACTAGTAGCTAAGTACAGTGAGTATTAGGTCTACCGACGTCACGGCCATGCACCGTCCTACAACTACATGAAAAGTCATGTATATCATAGTAGTATTTATTATTATTATTATTATTAACTTTTATTTTACTAGGGTGTTTCCCACAGACCTATGGTCTTCTTACGGGAGCCCCTAGGAAGGTTATGCATGAGCGTAGATACTGGTGTTAGCGACAATCGATCCTACACTACGTCTACAGTACCGTACACAGTCAGCTATAATCAGTGCAACAAGTGTATGAAAGTCACTGGAGCAAAAAAAAAAAAAAAAAAAAAAAAGGTACGAAAAATCAAAAAATTAAATTCCGCCAGCACTCTTGACCACCCACCCCCTTTTTGCCTGAGGACGGATTTTTTAATTTTTCGAAAAATACGGACGACCCCTAACTTACTGTAGGAGTACGCGGTAGTCGTGTAGACTAGTACCGGTACGAGTGTAGAAGTACAGCAGTACGAGGGTCAGTGTAGGTCTACGTCGCGTTCATGCATTTCCCACAGTGCACGAATCGGTACGCGCACAACGTCGACCCGCGAACGATCGATCGACTCTTTTTGATCTTGCGCCATGCATGGCGCCAATGTTGCGCAACGCATAATACAAAATTCCCGATGACGATCTGACGTCAAGCAGTGACGACGAATATTTTCTAGATCATGTAGATCTACAGTCATACAGTGTAATCATTGTAGTAGATCTACCATCGCATCTCTCCTGATCCTGGCCTGCCTCGCACACTCAGTACTGACACAGTGACACTCACATTGTGGTTGTTTTTCTTTCCGTTTTAGTTCGAGTCCGGTGTTGTTGTTGAATTGTTTGCTGTAACGCCTTCTCGTTTGATTCACGGATCGTTCCTCGTCTCAACCTGTCTCCGCAAGCGGACAGCTAGCTCCGAAAGACTTTCAGGTAAGAACCCACCACGGTCTTTTCTCACTTGTACGTCCTTATCCTAGTCACTAGTGTCCCGCAGGAACTGGCGCCAAGTTTCTGTCCCACGTGTTCGGAGGAAAAAATAGTTTTCCTACGCGCGTTGGTCCGTCCTAGATCCTTCCGAATCCTGCTTCCCTTTCTCTCGGTGTCTGTATTTTCGTTTGATGACAAAGGCAGGGATACATGTAACTTGAATTCGTGTTTGATGCTTGGCTTCCTCCCCAGTTCTCTTGTGACACGTGTACTGCTCCTTTTCGCGGGAAACTGCATTTCCCGCCAGATCGATATCGCGATGCGGCCACGCTTTTTATGGTAGCCTTCCTCTCGGCCTCCAGGCCAGGGCACGATTTTTGATGGTGATATGGAGGACTCCCGGTCCATGCTCGAATCAAGCAAATAGGAGATCCACCGATAGGCATTAGCTTTCGGGGAAATCCTGAAAATTTAAAGGGGAAGTATACCCTAAAATCAAATTTTCACCAGTTGTAGTCTTCTGGGTGCTGAGTCGAATGGTCTTGGTCCGAGGAAGCTGCGACGCTCCCTTCCTGCTTGAATCCCAATCGAACTCGCGCACTTCCACCGAAACTGGGTGACTGCGCCCTACTAGATGGGGATTTGTATGCAAAATGTCACTAAAAGCGCCATTTCGTTCTTATAAAAGCACGGATGACCGCGATTGGCCCATATGTTGTAGTCTTTTGGACGCTGAGTCGACTGGTTTTGGTCCGAAAAGGCTGCGATGCAGCGTTCCTCCTTTATTCCCAATCGAACATGGTTGAACAAGCGGTCACGTGCTCCTGCGTACACCAGTCAGCTGGTCACCGTGCCTGCAGGGTACAACTTACTAGCCTGTTTGACCTTTTTTGGGTGCAGTCCTGTCACTCGAGTTGAACTCGAGTTGAACCTTGGTGTGAAAGTTGTCGCCTGCTGGCGCGGTGACCAGGTGATTTGGGCACCCAGGAGCACGTGACCGCTTGTTCAACCATGTTCGATTGGGAATAAAGGAGGAACGCTGCATCGCAGCCTTTTCGGACCAAAACCAGTCGACTCAGCGTCCAAAAGACTACAACATATGGGCCAATCGCGGTCATCCGTGCTTTTATAAGAACGAAATGGCGCTTTTAGTGACATTTTGCATACAAATCCCCATCTAGTAGGGCGCAGTCACCCAGTTTCGGTGGAAGTGCGCGAGTTCGATTGGGATTCAAGCAGGAAGGGAGCGTCTCAGCTTCCTCGGACCAAGACCATTCCACTCAGCACCCAGAAGACTACAACTGGTGAAAATTTGATTTTAGGGTATACTTAATGCATGTCATACGTGAAGCTCTTGCAACGGCGATTGGATTTTTGCTCCATCGCTCTCTTAGTTGTGGCCGTGAGCCTTGTATGTGTGAATGGCTACAACATGATTTGAACCAAGGAGAACGCGGAAGATAGCCACTAATGCTTGCCACTGTCGTCCTCCCCTCCCCCCCCCCCCCCACCCCCCCCTCCCCCACCCACCCCCCCCCCTCCCCTCCCCCACCCCCCCCCCTCCCCCAAAAAATCAGTAGCTCTACTACAGCGATGGCAGATGAAATCCGACTCCAAGTAAACAACAAGCCCCTGGCTAATGGCTATCCGATCCTATATTTACACAACAGTACTGTAATGTGAACCCTTGGCCTTGGCTGGGAAGTGACTGTGGCTCTGCCGGTTTCATTCAGGAGTTTGGATTTCACTTGCCTCGACCTGTACTTCTAGTGCTGTGTTTGTGGCAGGGTGCCGCGTAGTACTGTAGTGCTTCGCATAAAAGCCGGCCGTGCTTATTCCCGTAGAACCCAATGGCTGTGATATGCTCCCATTTAAGTCGGGCTTGTATTCAAACTACCGTATTTCCTCGATTAATGGACCATGCTCGAATAATAGACCATGTTCCCGTAGAACCCAATGGCTGTGACATGCTCCCATTTAAGTCGGGCTTGTATTCAAACTACCGTATTTCCTCGATTAATGGACCATGCTCGAATAATAGACCATGCTCAATTAGTAGACCCTCCTAGAGGCCTCACGGAAAAATAATAGACCATGCCCGAATAAGAGACCCGGTCTCTTATTTGAGTTCATCGCTTTGCGCATGCGCACTAAGAAAGCACGTGGTGGATCAAAAAAGGACGCGATTTTAGGTTGCGCAACTACAATTTTTGTAGTGGCTAGTGCTTTCTTTCATTATTTGAGCACGGTCCACTATATTTTCATCGGCACATCGCTGGAAATGGTGGATTTTTAACTAATATAGAACTTCTATATTTTTAAAGGGGAAGTATACCCTAAAATCAAATTTTCACCAGTTGTAGTCTTCGGGGTGCTGAGTCGAATGGTCTTGGTCCGAGGAAGCTGAGACGCTCCCTTCCTACTTGAATCCCAATCGAACTCGCGCACTTCCACCGAAACTGGGTGACTGCGCCCTACTAGATGGGGATTTGTATGCAAAATGTCACTAAAAGCGCCATTTCGTTCTTATAAAAGCACGGATGACCGCGATTGGCCCATATGTTGTAGTCTTTTGGACGCTGAGTCGACTGGTTTTGGTCCGAAAAGGCTGCGATGTAGCGTTCCTCCTTTATTCCCAATCGAACATGGTTGAACAAGCGGTCACGTGCTTCTGCGTACACCAGTCACCTGGTCACCGTGCCTGCAGGGTACAACTTACTAGCCTGTTTGACCTTTTTTGGGTGCACTCCTGTCACTCGAGTTGAACTCGAGTTGAACCTTGGTGTGAAATTTGTCGCCTGCTGGCGTGGTGACCAGGTGATTTGGGCACCCAGGAGCACGTGACCACTTGTTCAACCATGTTCGATTGGGAATAAAGGAGGAACGCTGCATCGCAGCCTTTTCGGACCAAAACCAATCGACTCAGCGTCCAAAAGACTACAGCATATGGGCCAATTGCGGTCATCCGTGCTTTTATAAGAACGAAATGGCGCTTTTAGTGACATTTTGCATACAAATCCCCATCTAGTAGGGCGCAGTCACCCAGTTTCGGTGGAAGTGCGCGAGTTCGATTGGGATTCAAGTAGGAAGGGAGCGTCGCAGCTTCCTCGGACCAAGACCATTCGACTCAGCACCCAGAAGACTACAACTGGTGAAAATTTGATTTTAGGGTATACTTCCCCTTTAACACGTCATAATATAGAACTTCTACAGTAAACTTTGCTTATAACGACATTCGGCGGGGCATCGAAAAAGTGTCCTTATTCGCGAAGTGTCGTTATACCCGAAGTCTCATTATATGTACCCCAGTGGGATGGGACTTTGCTCTGGGCATGGAAATTATGTCGTTATTCGCGAATTGTCGTTATATCCGCAGTCGTTATTAGCGAAGTTGACTGTATGTTATGACGTGTTAAAAATCCACCATTTCCAGCGATGTGCCGATGAAAATATACTGGACCGTGCTCAAATAATGGACCATGCCCAAATAAGAGACCGGGGGTCCAACACTCTTCAAAAAAAAAAAAAGACCGGGTCTAATAATCCCGTACTCCCGCGATCAGTGCCCCTGGGGCACTATTCAATAGAGGGCGCTATTTTTTCAATGCTGGTACATGTACATGTACGTCATCCAGCATAAAAATAAAGAAGGCAAAGAGGAACCGAGCCGAACGTGTACATGTGAACTATCACGACTGAAGAGAAACGGTAGCAAGAACTGTGTGCTGAAGACGTTCGCCACAATGTGAACTGATGCAGCTACGTAATCTTGTCGTGGTTCATGGATTTGTGTTATTAGTTTGCTTTCATGTATGTGCCTTGACATCTTCGAATTGCGTAATTATTCCCGTAGCTATGCAGAAGACGTTACTTCAGTAACGTCTGGCGCTAGCCAGGGTCCACACAGCTTTAATTTGGTATTTGTTTGTTTGTGTGTTTGTTTGTTTGTTTGTTTGTGTCACGCCTGGCACTATCCCGTATCTGTCCCGTATCTGTCCCGGATCTGTCCCGTATCTGTGACTACAAAGGCTCTACAGGATTGTACATAACAGCTGTCCACTATATTTGCGGGCTCCTGTATCTGTCCCGTACCGTACCAATATTCGTCGTATTATGTATACGACTCCCTGATGTAGAGGGAGACGAGGAGTAAAATTAAATTAGAATAGACGCCGAATAGGTGATAGGATGCGTCAGCATAAACATACATGTACTTCGGAAGAGAGATCCCGTCGTCTCCAAAATAAGCGTGAACGAGCGATTCAGCGCCGGTCACAGGAAACGTCGGAAGAGAGATCCCGTCGACTCCAGAACCCCCGTGATCGGCAGAGTCCGCCGGTCCCAGGCAACGTCAGGACAGACATCCCGTTGTGTCCAGAACGCCCGTGATCGGCAGAGTCAAGCCGGTCCCAGGAAACGTCAGGACAGACATCCTGTCGAGTCCAGAACGCCCGTGATCGGCAGAGTCAGCGCCGGTCCCAGTGAACGTCAGGACAGACATCCCGTCGACGCGCAGAAAAACTAAATCTGCAGCCTCTTTTGCCGTCGGACAGGATACGTATTATAGGAGACTGTAAAGTTATGTGATGTCCAAATTTCCAAGTGAGCAGCAGGTCACTCGCGTTGATTTTTTGACGTGCGAGCCAAATAACGCGAGCTGAACTTTCGCGTCGCAGTCATCCGGTCGACGCGCAGAAAAACTAAATCTGCAGACTCTTTTGCCGTCGGACAGGATACGTATTTTAGGAGACTGCTAAGATATGTAATGTGCTCCACAGGCAACCATGCATTCGGCGTCGTCATTGGCTCAACAGGTCAATGTACATGTATTACTACAAAAAGGCCAGAAAATCCGATTACTGTATTAAAATCAACTAATTTTCGCTGGCGATTTAATTTCGCTGATTTCGCCGCTTGGTACCAACCGGCCAAAGTAAATCGCAGGCCAAAGTTTGTCATATAGGCAAATGATGCATGATTGAGCAATGGATGCATGTGAGAGC